AAAAATAGCACGCGAGTACAAGCTGCATAGCCTATTCGTATTCCCTCATCGTCCCTACGAAAATCAGTTTTAGGCGGCAAAAAGGGTCCTCGTTTGTGCATGCACATACATACATGTCTTTAACACAATTTGTCCACAATGCAAGTTTTGTGAACTGTTTTCCTCACGCATTCACAATAACCAAAAAAAAATAAAATAAATATTTAAATATGTAAGTATTTTTAAAGTCAATAATATCACGTTTTTTTGTGTATAAATTCGCGATTCGACGGAAGAAAGCATTGACCAAAATAAAAAATATTGTGATTTTTATTAAAAATTATTATTTATTTTTATAAAGAACCGCCGAATTCTCCACAGTGGTATCTAGCATTTTTTACTCCAATACTTTGAACTTTTTTCTTTAAAGGCGTAAGAGTGTTGCTTCAGTTTCCTGGCCACATTTCGTAAAAACACTAACGAAATATTCACAAAAACATTCTTTAAAATAAAACAAAAAAGTATAAAAGGTACGTTTTATTTATCCACGGCTTTACATACATATGATGTTTTAAAATTGCATATACTTGGAACCGCATTAAACCCCAAAAACAAGAAGTTTCAAGTTCTGCCTTAGCCAGGTTTTACTCGTATTCACTTTCAGCAAACTATTTCACTCCTCTGGGGTATCAATTATATAATTAAAGTTTGTAAAGAATTCTTCTACAAATCCGAATTGAGCACTGATGGATTAGGTATAACCGAACTGAGTGTTGTCACTTCAACACTACAGCTTCAAGTCGCCTGCGAGATTCACGATAAGCTAACATAATATCATCCAAAGTCATTCCACTTGTCTTGTTCGTACATGGAGTGAGCAACTCACAGTGACGTTGTCTGAAACATTGACAATTAAGCTCCAGTTGTCCCGTGGTTTGAATGCGGCAGCCGTACCGTGATTTGATAAGTGTATCTCTGTCGTTGTCTGTATAAAAACTCATAAAATCAAATAGTCGACGTCCACCGATTAGATAACGAGTGAGTGTTTCTAATATTCCATCGGCAGGGCATAGACACATCAGCTTTGCTGAGTTCGATCCGGTTGAAAGGTATGTTGAATAGTGCGCATACCCTTCAATACGTTCGCGACCCCAGCTGTCAATAGAAATTACTTCGAAGTATATATGCAACAAGTGAGCAGGATCAAAGTGCTCCTCGCAGAGCAGAGTCAATTGCCAATTATAACCGAAGAAGCAATCAATATTAGCAGGACCAGGAGAGCTAGCGTGTGTACTGGCGTTCAACACACCTTCTTCAAGAATGGTGTTTGCTGGCAATTTGATCTGATAACGTACATGAATATTGTCATAGCTGAATCCACTCGCCTGACGTAACTCAAAAAGGAATGATATACGGGTTGTGCGTTTCGGTGGTAGATCAAACAAGGTGTTCAAGTCTCGTTCTTCCTGCCAATGTGCGGTTAACTCTGGAAGACGCAAGTAAGTTGTCGGATTTGCAACATGCCTGCGCTTTGAAACATTATGCACAGCAAATGCGTACAAATGCCGATAATCTGTGTCGACTTGAATATAATAAGGATTAACTGCGAAGTCGTTGAAATCTGGATAAATATGTAATTGTCGCAGTTCCGGATACCAAGCAAGAGATACCAATTGTGTGTCTGGTGATATGGCAGCAAATATGTACATAAACTGCTGTGCTGCTACGTGTTCATCAAATCTCGTTTGTTTTTCAATCTTGTCTCCATTTGATAATAACGCACCGTTATCCGGATGGAAGTCGTCCTCATGCACATAGGTAAATATTTCACCCCAACGTTCTTTGGATGAGAATTCTGCTTTTCGCGACTTTTTATTGCGTTTTTTATGACAACGTTTATTCCCTACGTTCACCGATGAAGAGTGCCCTGACGAAACTTCTGACACCCCAGCCTCCAATAGCCATTGATTATACTTCTTTTGTGTATCGGTGAGACAAATTCGCTCATCTTTATAGAGTTCAATTTCGCTAGGACTTAAAAGTTTTTCTTGCCAACGAATTCTTCTCAAACAAGTTGCATCTTCAGTTTGTTTAAAACTTTCAATATTTTTAGTTAAACTATTGATATTTGTACCGATGAAAGCCCGATCGAACTTTGGCAACTTCAACAAAGAGTTGATGTGACGGAAATGCACTTCCAATTCTAGATATTCAATATTGTCAAGTATATTATAGATTCCCGTATGTTTTGGAAATATATGAGACATTTTTTAAACCTGAACTATTAAAAACTACTAAACGCTTGTTTTGTTTATATTTTTCATAACATTTGTCGGTCTCCTTGACAACGTTTTGTTTGTACGATGCACAATTAAATTAAACGGTACTGTACGAATAATTTTTGAATTATTTGTCCAGATACTGTACAAATGGTATTTGATTTATTTGTCCAGGTACTGTACAAATGGTATTTGATATATTTGTCCAGGTACGGTACGAATAATTTGTATTTAGCAGAAAACGCACATCAGACAGAGAACTTAAAACATCCAAATCGTAAAAAGTCCAATCGAACATCATACAGAATTCAATTTGCACCTTCTCTATGTTTTAAGTTCTCTGCATCAGAGAAGTATATCATAGAAAGGTTCACGATGGGTTGTGTTTAGTATCGCGCCGGTTAATTTTGGCTCACCGTACCTAAACGAGAGAACCAAATGGAAAATTTTAAACACGCATGTATGCTTAAATTATCGAACTTTGTTTTAAAACATATTTTATAAAAATCGGTTCACAAATTTTTCAACAAATTCACTTTAAAAAATGCTATTTTTTGCAAATTTCTAAATATATGCTAGTGTATTTTCATCTGTTGTGCATTGTAYCRAAMCAATTATGGATACATTTTCACGCACATATATTACTTATGAATTATAAAAACCACTAGTAATGTTTTTAATTACTTTTGAGTGTTATTAAAAAGTTCGATCCTTCCTCTTTCCAATAAGGGGTCGTGAGGGGGGTATACTAAATACCGGCGCGATACTAAACAATCCCCTTCACGATTCAGACAGAGAACTTAAATCATGCTTTAAGTTCTCTGGTATCGCTTACACCGATCGATGAAAATTAACACGGGACGAAGAATTATTCGATGCCACAGTTAACGAAGAATCCTTTTATGCCACAATTAATGAAAAATTCTTCGATGTCACAGTTAACGAAGAATCCTTCTATGTCACAATTAATGAAGAATTATTCAATACCAAAGTTAACGAATTCTTCGATGCCAAAGTTAACGAAGAATTCTTCGATAACTGTGGTATTGATTCTTCTATGCAAAAGTATGTAGTAGTAGAAAGAAAAAATGCATATAATATTTTACTTTATTGAAAGTGCATGTATGTACATATGTATGTATTTCGTTATGAAAATAAGTATTTATGTATAAAAAGAAATGAATTTCTTTTAATTTTGTGGATGATTATCTTTTCGTTTTTTTCCAAGCAACGAGACTTAAAGGAACGGTCTTGGGCGAGTCTGATGCTTTTTTGAATTTGGTGAGCACACTCCGAACTAGTATTTGTTGTTTACATATTGTATTGTAATGTCTTTCATGTACTTACTTCATTGTCAATTGCTCCGAAGTATTCTTCAAAGAAAAATGTAAGCGGTGAACCATTATCCCGCTGCGTTTTGCATCAGAGGACTCGAAAATAGCAGAATTGAGCATTTTCAGTGTTAAATGAGAAAAAAAATAATAATTCCTATGGTAAAGAATGTACGCTTACAGCAGAGATAATGAGATCCCCAACTCCTCTCTCACTGGAAGCGAGAGACCAATTGCTAAACGTCAAAACCTACCGAACTTTGACAGTTCACTGGATTGAGTAGGTTTTGACGTTTTGCAATTGGAATGACTGGA